GCTCGATATTGTTAGCCTGCCGCAAATGCCTTCTGGGGGTCGTTAGATGACTAACAACATCCATCCGCTCCAAGAACTTCTTCGTGGTCAAACAAGTGTGCGTTAAGGTGACCCCTCTCTCCATACTTATTCATTGTGTGCATGGAATATTTTTCTCGTTTGCTCCAAGCAAGCTTCGCATTCCGACGCATTCCGCCTTCATCCTAAGTGTGAGCCTCATCGTATTACGCACCTAGCCTTTGTCGATGATGTTATGCTTTTAAGTTATGGCGACATGGCCTCGGTTCCGTGTTTGGCTCGGGTGTTACAAGATTTCAACCGCACCTCCGACCTCTATATCAACCCCGCCAAATCCTTCATTTATTTTGAAGGGGTTCGTGACTCGCCATAAGCTTGCTCTACTTCAAGCTACCGGTTTCATCGAGGGTGCCTTTCCTTTTCGTTACCTCGGGGTTCCCCCGAGCCCGCATAGGCTATTGGTTAGTCAATTCTCTTCGCTACTCCACGACTCGAAGGCACTATCCGGTCATGGTCGGGAAGTATCTCTCTTACGTTGGTCGTTTTGAGCTCCTAAGATCGATTCGGCTTGGTATCTTCCCGATCCTCGCTTTGGTTATGTCTCGCATAATCGGTATTTGTCGAACTTCTTATGGATCGACGATGTTAACGAAGTCACTCAGCCCTCGTAGCTTGACGTTTGCTTTGTTGTCTCGAGGACGAAGGAGGCCTTGGCCTAAGAGATTTTTAGAGTCCTCAACTCCTCGCTTCCTTGCTAAGCAGCTTTGAAACATTCACCGAAAAACGAACTCTATTTGGATTCGATGGATTCACCATTTTTACTTGAGCGATACTTGTGTTTAGGAAGTAGAGGCTCATCGCACGGCATCACCGATGTGGAAATCCATCCTCTCATTAAGGGATTCTCTACTTCGCCGGCTTGGGGACTCTACTCTAGTTATTGGCCACCCGGAGGCCTAGGGCCCGAGCGAGCTTGACTCGTCTAGCTCATGACCATCTTCGCCTCCGGGCGGTACTCGTCACTCGGGCTCGGAGCGTTTGGGAACCCCGGGCCGTGTCGTGCCACTCGTTCATTCTTTGGCTTGTGGTGCGCGATAAACCGAAAACTATAGACGGCCCGCCATTTGTTCTCTCCGACCCCGCCGTGCCTTTTGTCGGACGAGCCGGAATCTCACGCACACCTCTTCTTCGCTTGCTTTTGGACTTTCGCTCTTTAGGATAAGATCCGTTTTTGGCTTGGTATTCGGCGGACTATGTCCACCCTCACCGGCGCTCCGAAAGGCCTTTCTCGTAGGCGAAGGAATGTAGCTGCTCGGATGCGGAGGGTCTCACTAGGGATCACGGTCTATCTTATTTGGGAAGAGCGCAACATGCGCTCTTTTGATTTAGCCTCGCCGCCTACTTCGTTGATAAAGCGTTTCGGAGGTTTCGCATTCTGTTTTTCATGATCCCGCACTTTCATGATCCGACTCCTACTAGTCTTACCTAGTGCCTTCGGCGGTTTTCTTCTCGTTAGCTCTCTTTAGGTCCGCCAAGAATGACAACAATTTGCAACCCGTTTTGTTCTTTTGTTCCGCCGGACTTAGCTCTCTGCTAGTCTCGCTTTGGGCTTTCACTTAGCTCGTATTTGAATGCTCGTTGAGCCTTGTATATAGTTCCAGTTTACTAGGCTCGTTAGTTTCTTGGTTGGTCTTGAAACCGCTTAATCTCCGTTTCCTTGGCCAACGTTTTGTTTCTAGCTTTTTTACCTTTGGTTCGTAGGGAGCATGTTCCCTTTTACATGTACAGACTTGTAAATGCTACTTGTGCTAGTTCCGGCTCAATTCCTTGATTTATATACTAACATTTAAATAAATAAATAAAAGAATTAAACAGGGCCATACTAGACAAGTGAAGGCGACGTGGAAAGAAAATTTGGATGTCAAGATTAGGATGATAGTTTTAAATCACGGACAATAGAAATAAAAAGCTCACAAATACTATTTTAGATTATAATTTATTATAATATTAAAATAACGATAACAAAATGTTTCGAAATCATTATATAAAAATCGTTATATAATGTAACGATCGTTATTTAAAAATTATAATGAGGATAGATACAAGGTAGAATAAAATAAGCAAATATAGTTACCTTTATGGATGATCATGAAAAATGGCCCAAGACTGCAAATTAACATCATCTCCAGAACTCCTGAAAAACATTTCAGAGGAAACTAGCTCTGGCACATTCCTGATTCCTCGAGTCAAGAGCTAGAACCATAAGAAAGTGTAAAAGAGATACCTGTAATTGAAAAGACCACTCCTCCTAGCAACACCCATCAAGAAACTTCAGCATGTAAATGGGAGATATCACAAAAAATACATGTCGATTCTATCAAAATATATTGTATATTCCAATGCTACTAATACAAAGAAGCCACGCCGTGAAAATAGGAGCAAAAATGAAAGCAACTCTGTTTTCTACGTAATGTTGAAGAGGGGGAAGCCCCACCAGCATGACAAACGAGACTATACCAACATAATCTGAAGGTACAAAGAAACAATCAAATCTAAGTTCATCTCATAAAAATAGCCTTTAACAGTAACGTATTCCTAGACAATGATGAATGAATTTGGACTTAATCTCATGGAGTCCGGCGATCTTAACTTTGACCCCTGAAACTGCTGAAAGGACTATAAAAGGCAAAAGGTAAGCAAATCTCAATAAGAATAAGATCTATTCTTGAAATAAAATCATGTAAGAGCCATATTCATAGTCTCAAATAGAGAAAGAGATATCCCTGGTGAAAAGGAGCATATCCTAAGGGCATACAGTTCAGATTTGACATCTAAGTTATATATATATATATATATATATCACAATTCACTATCTCTAGGCTTTCCGATTTAATATTCTCCGCCATAAAAAGAAAAATGTTATAGACTAATCTTCCATGATATTGGAAGGAAACTTTTCCATTTTGAATGCACATCATAGGGCTAATCAGTGAGTGTTTCTCAGGTACTTATGACGTAAACAAAAAGAAAGGTTATGATGAATCCCGCTACCTGATGTTATAGGAGAGAGTACGTCATCAACAATTGCCATAGGTCCCCAAAACAACAAAAATCAACAACACTATGTGACATCTTGAATGCTTCTCAAAGAATGACTACAGAGCAGTACTCTGCCATGGGCCTATGGATCCTTCTGTTGCATGTATAGGTAGACCACTTTTTATCTGTGGCTTGTTGATTTGGTAAAATGCTTGGTTTTGCATGTCGGCAAACAGGGGAGTACAAAGCAAAGGCACCACCTGCACCATAAGCGAAAAAGTTGAGATTGATAAGTTGTCTTTCTCCCTTGTCCACATCTGCAACCATTGAGCTTCAAATTAATTAATTTTATGGAAACTAGCAAATGGGTTTTTTTTTTCCCTTAGAAAATTCAAATTAACTACTGAAAAAACCATAAAACCCTTAATTTTTAATAGATTTTTTCCAAAACAACAAATTAAAGTATAAACAATCAATTTTTCTTAAAAAAAAAAATCAACATTAAAGGTTTTTTTTTAAAAAAAAGTTTCAAATTAACTACTTAAAAACCTTTAGAATCCTCAATTTTTTGTAGGTTTTGCTCGAAATTAAAGGACAAACATGTAGTTTCAAACTAAAAACTAAACATTAAAAAAATTAGGATGTTTTTGGAATTTTCAAATAAAGCTTACAAAATTTTTAAAACACCAAAAAAAGAAAGAAAAAAAAACTTTGTAGGCTTTGTTCGCGATTATATAAATATATTATTGATCCCAACATTTTATGGATCCAATACATTTTCTTGTTTAAAAAATTTTAAAATAGGTTTACATTTTAACATACCTCACTTCAATTTTGAGTCATCCTTAATTTATCTTCAATTTGATCGAAAATAGCCACACAAACCTTTAATAAACAAGAACTCACCAAAAATCTCTATATTTTCAAGAGATTTTGTTGTTAAATTTATGTTTTTTTTTTAAGTTTCTCTCTCTCTCTAAAGAAAGAGAAGAATATAAGAGGGTAACAAATAGAGTTGATTATGCTCATCTAGGATATGAAAGAGAGAGACGAACGTGAGAGGATAACAAATAGAGTTGATTATGCTCATCGTTTCATACTTTATTTGTCTGAAAATTTACCATTAAAAATTTAGGGTATAAAGTATAATTTATAAAACATAAGAATGTTAAGTGTTTCCACCATTAAATTACAAAATATTTAAAGTAATTTATCTTAAAATAAATCATAAAAGATTAAAAATATTTTTTTATGCTTTAGTTTATTAATTAACCAAATCTAATAGCAGTCAAGTCCTTCATTTTATTAGTTAAGCCCAATTTATTTATCATAGAATAATGAATTTGATCAAATTCATATAGTAGAAAGGCATGTCAGCAATGATTTTCAGCCAGGTCAGGCCATGTATTCACATTTGATTGATCAATTTATGGTGTTAGTCAAATTAACAAATTTTAAAAAGTCTTAAAATTTTAAATAAAAGGTTGACATGACTCAGTATAGAATAGATGGGTGGATATGAATAAGTTGAAAGCAGAAGGGCAACAGTCAGGAAGATGTTTTTTGCCTTTTATTTTGAGGTTTTTCGAGTTCTTTTTTATTTCCATGCCCAAAATGATCCTTATACAGGTCGTCTAACTCTGAAGCAGCAAGGGGCCGTCGGGTCGTTCCTATAGGCTGACGGATCATCTTTCAAAGAAAACTACTCCTAGAAAAGAACGCAGCTTGGTTAGAATCGACGAGTCGTCAACATCAAGAGTCAAAATACGTGTCGTTCTCTTCTCGCAGAGACAAATCCAACATTTTCTTGAGTCTCCTCTCCAGCTTCCTCCATTTCCATTCAAAGTGATATTCAGTTATTCCTAAGCCAAAATTTCTCTCTCTCTGTCAGCTTACGTTTGTTTTTAGTTACCTTGCGGGTAAATCTGTATTAGGAATCCAAAATGATGGCAGAGGATCTCGGCATCGAAGCGAAAGAAACCTCCGTGCGTGAGGTGGCGAAGCTGTTACCGCTTCCAGAACTCTTGCAATCCATTGCATCTATTAAAGCCGATTACATCACTCGCCAACAAGTAACTGCAATCAGATCAAATTCACTCTTCTTTTTTCAATTTTTTATGGATCTCAATTCTATTAAGTTGCTATTGTTTTTTGTTTTTGTTAGGCTAACGACGCGCAACTTAGTACAATGGTAGCAGAGCAGGTACAATTTCTATAGAATTATAGATTTAATTAATTATTGCTTGTTACTTTCGTTTTGTTTTTAAATTTTAAATTTTGATGCGTCAATTATTTTGATGATGTGAAAATGCAGGTGGAACAAGCAGAATCTGGATTGGAATCGCTGTCCTTGTCGCAGAAGACGATAAATCAGCTACGAGAGAACTTCATTTCTATTGAAAAGTATGTTCTCATTTTGCGGATTCTTGTTTTATTTTTTTCTAAAATGAAAAATGCGTGTGCATTCTTTTTTATGGTTTCATGATTATAATTTTTGCGTTAGGTTATGTCAAGAATGCCAAACTTTGATTGAGAATCATGATCAGATAAAGCTACTTAGCAATGCAAGGAACAATCTTAACACTACTTTGAAGGTTGGTGCCACTTTTTCACCTTGTAGGTCTTTGATAGTTGTTGCTTGTGATTAGTGTGACAAATGAGAGTGTGTTATGTTGATTTGATTTGATATTTGTGCTCTTATAAGCTGTATTGGTCTGATGCGTGAAGCTATAGCTATTATGGATATGCTGATTTTGTCATTTTGCTCTGTGGTTACTTTCTGGCTTAGCTCTTGATTCTATGCAGGATGTTGAGGGTATGATGTCGATATCTGTTGAAGCAGCAGAGGCACGGGATTCATTGAGTGATGATAGAGAAATTGTTAATACTTATGAGGTAAAGCTGAATTCTTTATCTCGTTGAGTTCTATGTCGGATATATCTCATGCTTGTCTAGTTATAACTTGTTTGCTGACCTTTTTTTTTCGTTGATTTGTCATAGAGGTTAACTGCACTTGATGGGAAGCGAAGGTTTGCATTAGCAGCTGCAGGATCTCACAAAGAGGAGGTTGGCAGATTAAGGTCTGTATCGTTCTTTTCAAGTTAATTTTGATGTAGCACAACAAATTAATACTATTGAAGAGAAAATAAGTAGCAACCGAAGTGTTGGCTTGGCTATGAATTCCTTTACATTTGTTTGACGTTGTAGCATTTAGCTGATAAAAATTACATGTACTTATGAATATTTAGACAGAGAAAAATGTTTAACGCCTTGTGATGCCAGCCTTTGAATTGTACCAAAGAGATTGCAATTTCCTGAAAAAAAAAATTCTAATTTTTACACTTTGGCTTTGGCTCAACCAAGAAGCTCTGCCTCGCTTGGTGGTAATAATGATTCACTTGTGGTGCATCTCTTTGTCTTGGAATTTCATTTTTGTTACTTGTGAAGACAAATATTTTGGTTTTACATGGCCTTAATTGCACTATATTGCAAAAGCTTGATGCCCAGGAAAGCACAGATGGCCCAAAAATGTTGATGAAAAAAAGAAAGGCAATGGACGATGGTAAACATGAAGGCAGAACCTTTATAATTAATATATTTCTTCTCTCTCTCTCTCTTTGCATGTGTGTGATTTTTATAGCTTGAGGTTCAATGGATTGATTATTTTCTATGTGCAATGGTCAGAGAATATTTTGAAGATGTAGATCGCACATGGGAAACCTTTGAAAAGACTTTATGGGGACACATTTCCAACTTCTTTAAACTTTCTAAAGAGAGGTATGCTCTTTATTTTCTCTTGAAGTGTTTGATAGTGGGCATATGAAGCCACGTTTTGACTAGGCCCTTACTGATGTTCTCTCAGTCATCCTACCTGCATAAATTGTATGCTTAATGTGAGAAATCAATTAAAACAGTGTTGTGTAAGTGTTTTGTGGGAGGTGATAATGATTATGTGCCTTTTGATAATCGTTTTGCAAAAGTAACCCTAACCAACCTTTTCTCTCAAAAGAAAGAAACAATGCCTCCAACAATCAACTGGGAGCATTGAGATGCGTTTGAAGTAAGTTATTTTGTTTTTCAGAGAATGCCTCATTTCTTGATAAAAGCCTTGCTCATCTGGTTCAAACATTTTAACAAAACCCACTCCCCATATTAGAGTGAGAAGTCTCAGTTTGAGCTGGGATTTGGGGTGGGGGTAGGGAATTTGCCACCAAAATCCTTCAAAGAACCAAAATTTAAAATGTTAATGAAGGCAAATGGAACCCATTCTCCTGATAATCCCATATTTTCTATTTATTGGCATTCAGCCCCAATAAGCGACCTCAACGGGCTAAAATTACGATACCTAGCATTAAGTAGTTTATTCTAATGGTATGAGAAGTAAATGCCCTATTGCCTTTTCATTAACAAATGTCAAAATGTTTATTGATTAGACAAACATATGTATGAGAGAGAAGTAAGTAACTAGGATTGAAATTATTTTACTCGAGTCCTGAGCTTCATGCTATCCTATAAATATAAACCCTAATAATTGTTTTTGAGGATTTAATGTATATAGATTGTCTGTATAATAAATTGCTCAAGTAATTCTTTTCAATTATTAGTTCTATTGCTCTTTGTAATAGTAACGCTATACACACACACACACTCTTATCGACCTTGTGGTTCTTTTCCAATGCTCAACCCTAATAACTATGCTTTTGCTTTCTACTTTCGCAGCCCGCAAACACTTGTTCGTTCGTTAAGGTATGTTTCTGACAAGCCTTTCAGGCTTCTCTCTTTTGTAATTAGGCTGCTGCATATCCTCAAAATGTCCTCAACTTCATGTTTTTATACTTCTCATCTATTAGTGGCATAACATTAGTTTCTTGTTGAAGGTTCCAATGAATATGAGGTCTTGTAAGATGATGATAAGAGAATCTAGGTAACTAGAGATAGCATTTTGTAATAACCATTTTGTTTGTAACAGAATCCTTGCTATGATAAATGAGTCCATTTTGTTTCATCAAAAGTTACTAGCATAATAAAGAGAGATAGCATTCTGATACAACAGTAGTTACTTGTTTCTCTTCCAAATGGTTTGACATGCCTTGTGATTCAACAAATGATAGTGAAATAATAAGCTACGAAAGTTCATATCGAGTATGTTGAAAATTTATGACATGCATGCTTGTCTTAATTCAGTATAGATTTGAAAGGCTATTGTATCCCCTTTTCGCTTCTCTAGGGTTGTGGAAATGCAAGAAATTCTTGATGAACAAGTTGCTGAGGAGGCAGCTGAGGCTGAGGGAGGTGGTGCAATGGCAACTGTTGCAAATCCTCGCAGATCTGCCAAGTAACTTGAGAGTCTTTTCTGTTTTTCTTTATTTTGTTTGAACTCTGAATTGATTTTTCCATCAATGATTTTGTATTTATTTTATCAATTGCCATTGCATGCTGTATTGCACCTTTGTTCCACAAAGTGAACGTCAGTAACAGAAACTTTACTTGTGGACTGCAGGAAATCCACTACCACAGCAGTTTCTTCCAGAAACCTCACGCAACAGAAGTTGAAGAGTCAGGGAAAAGGTTTTAAGGATAAATGTTATGAGCATATAAGAAAGTCAGTTGAAGGACGGTTCAACAAGCTTCTAACAGAGGTATGCTTCTTTTGATTTATCTTCTACTCGATATAAATATTCGCTTCTGATGCTGTATGTCATTGACAATTGTATTTGTTCATCAGCTTGTATTTGAAGACCTCAAAGCTGCCTTAGAAGAAGCTCGAACAGTACGTACAAGTGATATCTCCAATTTGTTACTATTTAATTTTTCCCTGGTCTTCGAGATTGGAAAATTTTATATGGTGTTTTTTATCTGAGTTCCATGGTTTTCGTTTGGTACACAAAGGTCATGACTAAAAAGCTCCTAGTATGAAATTTTAAGAAAATCTTAACTGGGAAGAGGATTGGTTTTTGGTCTCCAACACAGCAGTTTGTCTATGTGTGCAAGCATGTGCATGTGATTGCCTTTGTTCTTCTGGTTGTGCATATCTCCACCATTGTGCTGGGAGTAGCGTTTATTGCATTGGAAAGAGAAAACAAACATAGTTGCTTGCCTTTTAGGATTCCATATCTGCTGCATTGTTTTCTTTTCTTGCTTTAATTCGCTTTTAATGGCTGTTGTTTGCATACTTTTCTTGTAAGTGAATTTTAGTTTATAATCTATCCAGAAGCTGTCAATATTGCATTCATAATTGATCAATGATTTTTTTTTTTTTTTTTTTGACATTTAGATTGGTGAAGAGCTTGGTGATATTTATGACTATGTGGCCCCATGTTTTCCCCCAAGGTAAGGCCTGCGCTAAACCTACTTCTTTTTGTTAATTTATCTGGACATATGCAGAATTCAGCTAACGTTTTCTTCTTTTGATTTGAGGATCAAAGTTGCTTTCTTTTTTTATTCATCAATTTCAACTATTGCACAATGTACCGTACAACGTAATGTTTTATACAGGCCTCAATATGCTTGGTACTGTTTTCTGTGTATATTATGCACTAACAGTCGCCCTAATGAAATATTCATTTTGCTAGTTATTAGTAACAGATAAGTGTCAAATTATAGGTTGCTTTGTAAGCTTCCTTGTGGTTGTAAACTGTTCCTTTGAGTCAGCTTCTGTTTCAATTGGATAGCATGATTATGCACTTAAGTCTTTATTGGAGCGTATGATGCACTGAGATCACACATTTCATCATCTGGTAATATGTAAAGTTTCTTGATTGACATTAGCTTGTCTAAGAAACTGCTGTGCCTTGGACTGTGAGGAACTTTTGATAGCTTGAACGCATGCTATATTTTTTTCCCCCAGAAACCTTTTCTGGAGCAGAGCATCCTCTTCTTGAGATAGGTGTAATGTGGTCTAAGAATTTTCTTTGGGATATTAAGCTGATCTTTGATGTTTGCAGATATGAAATATTCCATCTCATGGTAAACCTATATACCGAGAGGTTTATTCAAATGCTCAGATTGTTGAGTGACAGGGCAAATGAGTTATCAAATATAGAGATTTTAAAGGTATTCACCTGGTCAATAATGTGTTTGAAATGTCTCATTTCATAACTATAAGAGCACAATATTGGAGGATGACCCATTCTCCCTTTTTACAGTGCTTTCTGACTTAATTATAATAATGCTTTCTTTTATGAGAAAAAAGTCAACTTTCTTTGACTCAGATCTGATCTGTTTTGACCCTAGAGTAACATTAGATTATTTCTTTCATGTAGATTGAGTGGTGTGTAATTTTGATTGCTTCCAACTAGGTAACCGGTTGGGTAGTTGAATATCAAGATAATCTGGTAGGACTTGGCGTTGATGAGTCTCTTGCTCAAGTCTGTTCCGAGAGTGGAGCCATGGATCCCCTTATGAATTCATATGTCGAGAGAATGCAAGCTACAACAAGGGTAATGATATAAGATCCCATAGTTCTACTGTGCTATTTATGTACAGAATATTTCTGTTATTCAGCTTTGATATTTTCTATTTCTCACTGCTGTTGCTTTTGCTCTCATTTTTTTCAGAAATGGTACTTAAATATCCTAGAAGCTGATAAGGTACAGCCACCAAAGAAAACAGACGATGGAAAGCTGTATACACCAGCTGCTGTTGATCTGTTTAGGATCCTTGGGGAGCAAGTTCAGATTGTTAGGGATAATAGCACAGATGTCATGCTATACAGGATTTCTTTGGCTATAATTCAGGCAAGTGTAGATAAATTATGCAGAAATAAAAGCTTCTTTTTTGTTACTTAGGATTGATTTCGGAGCTCATTTGCATAAAAATTGGAAAAGAGTTTCACACTATTTTGAAGAATATGGTAATGTGTGAAACAATCCGGTTCACTTGATCGTTTTTCAGCAGTGTCCTACTTGAGTCATACTTCTTTGCTTTGATAATTGAAGACTTCTGGCATCATAAGGGTGTCTGTTTTTAGTGTGAATTTGTGCCGTAGCATCTAGTTGCACGTGCACTTGAGTGTGTTATTTATGATTCATACTAGTACTGCTTAAGTCTGCTTTCCCTCTTACTTTCTGACAATGTCTTTGGTGTTGTTTTCTGTACCCGCTATTAAAATTTCTGTTACTTATGTTTTATAGGTGATGATAGATTTTCAAGCTGCTGAAAGGAAGAGGCTTGAGGAACCTGCTTCAGAAATTGGTCTGGAACCTATATGTGCAATGGTTTGTGGATTTTATTTGTGTTTTATGCAAGTATTTTGTCATGTTAGAGAGTTAAGTTCCGTTTTTGTTTGCCACTTGTTTTTGCTAAACAAATGAACAGATAAATAACAACCTGCGCTGCTATGACCTTGCAATGGAGTTGAGTAACAGCACCATGGAAGCACTACCACAAAACTATGCTGAGCAGGTTATTTATATGATAACTTTCTTTTTATAAGCTTCTGCTTCTATTCATGGTTTCTTTTTTTTTTTTTTTTTTTTTCAAGTTAAAAAGATAAAAGTGCTAACGGAAACTATGTATTTGGTTGAGGTTAAGAAATTGGAGTGAAGTTAAAAACTTAATGGGAATAAATGAGTTTTGGAGGGAAGGACATCCTTCTCTTCTATTATTGGGGTAACAAAAGAAAGGACTAAACATATTTTTGCTGGCAAAGGGACATGTATTGCATGTAAAATTATTTCTTTAGAAATTTAGAAAACATTAAAAGATTCTCTGTTCTTCTAAGCCCTACCATTTTTTAGTGATTGACACTGACAGCTCTGGTAGGTACGAACCTTTTCTTTCTGCCTTTTTCGTTGCCTGAGCTTTTCATTGATAAGTTTGTTGCCTGTAATTTTCTTGTGTTCACATTGCCTTTTCCCATATCTTCTTATTCTGATCATACTTGAATAAGGCTCCTGAGTCCTGGCTGAATGTATGAGAGAATGTCATTTTCACCTAAGTGTTTGATATGGTACTTCATTAACGTGGCTAGGCATGCCAACTTCCAGAATAGAAAAGGTGGTGGTGGTGGTTGTGAAAGGTACCTTGAAAGAAGTAATGGTTCTTTGTAATGGCTTGCTTTTTTATTGCTAGTTCAGGACAACTACAAGTTTCTTATATTGGGGGATATGTTTTTCTTCTTTCTTTTTTCCCTTTTTCTTTTTCCCTTCTTGGTATGAGTGTGTTTGTGTGTGCCCATGTGTAGAGTGCAGCAAATAAAATGCCTACTAATCTCAGCATTTTATTCACTGCTGCTTGCTTTTCTTGCGTTAGTAGGATCCCACTTTATAGATAATCAAATATATATCAAATATCTCAAATCTATGCCAGGATTTTTGGTTGCATTACTTCATGATATGCTTGAAAACAACTATGCTAATTGCATAGTTGAAATTAAATATGTAGCTTAGCTTTTTTCCCCTCTTCCTCATGCTACGAAATTCATTATCCTTATCACTTTCACAGGTTAATTTTGAAGATACTTGCAAAGGTTTTCTAGAGGTTGCTAAGGTATAAACAAATAATGACAGTGGTTCCTTTCTCTCTGCCTCTTTTGTTGAATCCAATATCCTTCAAATTTCTTACTGATCATGGATGATATCCTTATCTTATTTAGTATGGATTGAGCATGAGGTAATTGGATGTCTGACCATCAAATCCAATCATTATTCCATTATATTTGATGGTTTGATGAAGTCAAAGACCTGCTTAATCTATATAGCCTTTATTTTTCTGAATGTTGGCTTTGCTTGTTTCTTGAATTTTGCTGCATTATCTAACTATCAGGAATTTCAAGTGTTAGGCTTGCAGCAGAAATCTTTCATCAATTAATTAGTTGTTATTCTTGTTAACCTTTTTGGTGATAAAAGGCATCTGGGTGATGAGTAGTCTTGTTTGTGCTTGTTGATTTGGATTTGAAAACAGTAGAGATGGACAGTTTAGAAATTTTGGTTGTATGAGGCCTTTCTTTGATTTCTGACTTCCTTGCTTCAAGATATTGCCTGTGCAATGTATGTGCAGAAACAAAGCTGTGTGTGCATTAACCAAGATTTACAATGGATTGCAGATAGGATAACTAGAGATTACTGGGATGAATGAAAGGAAACCTGAATTGTGTATAAACATGTTTTCATTCTTTTTTTGTGCTAGCTGTGAAGTTCCAACTGCATCGTATGGGTACTGCATGGAGTTTGGTCACTGCAAATGCTGTTTTTTTCCACAATTTTGATGTTTGTATTGCCCTAGCTTGTGGCCTTGCTTAGCATCCTTTACATTTTTTTTACTATCTTTTCATGAGATGATCATTAAGCTCATGTTCAATTTGCCGATTGATGGTAGGAAGCCGTGCATCTAACTGTTAGGGTTATCTTTGAAGATCCTGGAGTGCAGGAGTTAATTGTCAAGCTTTATCATAAAGGTAAAGTAATGTTCAGCTTTGTCATACAATATTCTGTTACTTGCTTAACATCTTGATATGACATTAATGCTATTTGTGTTAAATAATGAGAATCAAGCTGATGAAATTTAAGCGCATGAAACAGCCCAATACAATCACAAAATCTAATTACAGTGATGCTGGCCCACATGACATTGTTTTTAGGACTACTTATTTTAGAAGGAAATATATGGTTTAATTTAATTATAATATTTTAGTTTCCTTATGTTCCCTACTTCAGTTAGGACTTGCCTACTTTATTTTTTTGGGTGCCTATTAATAAACACTCCATGCAGACATTCAGTTCTAACATTGAATTATTGAATAAAATAAACTTTGTTTTCTTCAAGATAGAACGCATCTCTCTTGTTTTTTGATGATCTTGTTGATGGTTCTACACCACACAGTGCTTAAATAAGTAATTGACAGCAGCCAGAAAGGGCATGATACTGCCCTGGGAATACAATGCAAAAAGAGAATATATCACTAATGTAAGAATCTATTTCTTGAGAAAAATCAAACGTGCTTATTTTAAAATGTTAATGAAATGTTTCAAGTTTAAAAACTGAAAGAGCTTATGTTAATTTTATAGAGTATTTTCCAGAAATGTGATTAGATATTAACTCTTCCAATTTTCTTAATGCATTTGATCCTTCTGATATTGCCTCTAAGCATTTACCTCGCATTTCAGAGTGGTCTGAAGGACAGGTCACCGAGTACCTAGTTGCAACATTTGGAGATTATTTTACAGACGTAAAGTTGTAAGTTTGCTCTTTCATCAGCCTTTTCTTCGTCTGAGCTCTGACCTTTGTGTGATCTGTAACGGGACGTGTTGCTCTTACATTTCCATAGCAATTTAAATTCATAGATCCCTCATACAAGTTATTTTAGTTCATCCTGTATTGCAGCTAAGGGTACATTGTACAGTCCATTTGTTTGTTATATGGGCTTTTAAGCTTAAACAGTTTCTTTTCATTATGCATTTCCAAGGAAAAGTTCAGGTTTATGATTTTTGTGAGGAGAAGTCCAAAGTTTTATAACCAAGGCCACTTAATTGTGATCCATGGTGTATGTTGCAAATTGAATTTGGCATGCAGGCTGGGACTAGAGGTTGGGTTTCAGCCTGCTAATGTAAGGGAAAGTGTTTGGAATATCACAAGGTTTTAAATAACATGGTGTGCTTCCAAAATCTACCGTTTCTTATTTTGTCCGAGAGATGCTGGAAAATCTTGAAGGACTTTTGCACTAACATATTAGCTAAACCCATATGATTGGACTATTTTGATTAGGTTTTCCTCTTATCTGGAAGTTGTTATCTCGAAATTTAAAACATGGATTCATATGTGTTAATTAGTTCAACTACTGGACTCGACACATGCTCGTGCCCACATACATTCATATAGCTTTATTGTTCTTGAATTTATAGTTTAAACAATAAAAGTTGTTCTTATTTGTTTTATTTTTGTTACCTTAGGTATATTGAAGAAAGATCATTTAGGAGATTTGTTGAAGCTTGTCTTGAGGAGACAGTGGTGGTTTACGTTGATCACCTTCTGACTCAGGTTTTATTTCAAATATAAAGTTGGACCTTTTATTTTCTTTGGAATATACTCCTGCATGTCCTCTCACCCAGTGTCTTTCAATTTTGATAGTAGTTCATCTGTAATGTGTTGTGATTATTGTAGAGAAACTACATCAAAGAAGAGACAATAGAACGGATGAGGCTAGATGAAGAGGTTATTATGGACTTCTTCAGGGAGTATATCAGTGTGTCTGTAAGTTGCTGCTTCATATCGAAACTTGCCTGAATTATTCTATGCGTAGTATACTCGCAAGCAATTTCTGTTGAGATTATCAGTTTTTCTATTATCTTTTTGTTCTTTATTAATAGCGATTAACTGACCTTTGCTTCAGAAAGTAGAAAGTAGAGTCAGGATACTGGGTGATTTAAGAGAACTTGCTTCAGCAGAGAGTTTGGATACCTTCACACTCATCTATACAAATATTCTTGAACATCAACCCGACTGCCCGGTAAATGTTTCTTAATACTCCTTCTTTTGAGTGATTATATTGGTCTGATAATTATTCTTCTTATCCTGGGTCTCACTGTGCATAAGTGGATCATCAGTTGTCGATTGTATGATAGGCTAGGATAAAATAATGGGTCAGACTTTAGTGATTTCTTTCAAGTCATGTTATTTATTCTGTGAGGGAAAATGCAGTATAAATTTGTATTTGTCAAACTCCAAGGTTTCTGCCAGCGATTAACCTGGTATCTGAATACGAATTGCAGCCTGAAGTAGTTGAAAAGCTTGTTGCACTGCGAGAAGGCATACCACGGAAGGATGCGAAAGAGGTACATGCAACCCATGACATGGATCCAATGCGTAACACACACTTATGAATACAAACTTCAAATATTTCTTATGTGATGTTTCAAGGATCCAACGAAAGCCATATTTCTCAATTTTTACATGGGAACTGCATGAATGTGTTGCTGGTGCTTCTTTTTATCAGCGGACCGCAAAAAAGAAATTCTGAAACTCAAACCCATGCTATTCCTTTCACAGGTTGTACAAGAATGCAAAGAGATTTATGAGAATTCACTTGATGGAAACCCCGCAAGGGCCGGTTTTCTCTTTCCAAGGGTGAAGTGCTTGGCATCTTCCAAAGGATCTCTCTGGCGAAAGCTCACTTAATTTCAGTGCCAACGTGGGGAAAAAAAACTGCTGTAAAGTTAATCGTCTATAATCATACATTGTAATGACCTGATGTATTCATTTTATTGATGATAAATTTTGGCCTTGTATTTTCTTCTCATATATATAATCAACCCATTTTATTCTTTGTGATTATGTACTCATGGCAATGACTTCAAAAGTGTCAGTAATCTCAAGTCTGGAAGAAAAAAATTGTAAAAAGTTATATTAAATGTTGCCTACTAAAACATTAATTCCCGGGAAAAAAATCAGTCAAAATAAGAACATTTTCACACGGTATTTTGCCATTATCAAGAAGGGGTGAATCAGTGGAGACATCAACAACTCCACTAGGGTAGGAAAGGAAAGGATGACAGGAGAGAGAATTCAAAGTTTTCCCTATGCTTGCCAGTTACTGCTCTTGCAAGTCCCAATGCGTCACCATTCATAAAAATGGACGTTCTATCATTTTCTCTTTGCACATGTGCAGATTTATTCAATAATTATTTGTGAAAAAATATTTTTGGATTTTAAAAAGTGAGTGAGAAATAGGAAGAGATCACTAAATGCCAACAGCCACGGGTAGCAATGCCTCGTGGATTCCATTGATTTATGCATTCGGTTTTCACTATGGTGTCATTAGCGAGAAATTTAAGGAAGCAAAATCTAACAAACAGCCATTAGAGAAACAAAACATCATGTACATATCCATTAGTTTACTCTTGAATGAGCTATGCATCTTACCTGCCCCACTTGACTAATACTATGAAATTAAATTAACATTAAAATGACTTTTCATACTACTAATTTATTATGGCTCTACTGATCTAGTGGGGAATCAAGGGTGATTAATAAACTAACAAAGGCCACCTTCATTATGCAACTTAATTTGCATATAAAGCCACCCTTTTTCCCTCCTCCCACCATAGCCAGCTTAACTTCTAATAACATCAACAAGAATGGAAAATTTCCCTCGATTGCTTTACAGAAACCCCAAAAGAAGCTCTAGGCAATCAAGTAGATACCTTGGAGTGAGGAGAAGACCATGGGGGAGATATGCTGCAGAGATTCGCAATCCATGTACAAAAGAGAGACATTGGCTAGGCACTTTTGACACTGCTGAGGAAGCTGCAATAGCATATGATCTATCCTCCATCTCTTTCAGTGGCATTGAAAGGGCTCGTACCAATTTTTACTACCCTTCTTTTGCACTTCCCTCTCCTCCACAAGCGGCGCCTGATCCACCGCCCCCACCACCAACGCCTGAGATGGAAGAGGGTGATCAACTTGGTATGGAGGGCATAGGTAGCACGCAAGATGATGAGTCTATTGTTATTGCTTCTATCTTGCAAAGCTTTTGTCACTCCACTAGTTATTCTTTCCATCCACAAATTTAAAATTGCTTCCCAATAATTAATTAACTAGCTCCTTTCCAGACAGATATATATAGGCATAGCACTCTTGAAATCCTTTTGAAAGTTGAGAATGGAAAGTAGATAAATTCAAAAAGTGAGCATGTTTCTTTTTATTTCCTTCTGCTTTAAAAGTTTTGTGGTACAATAATAATAATAATAATAATAATAAAACCACTACATTTTATACCATACTAGATATTATAAAAATAAAAATGACTGTACTCGCATGGTCATAGTTAGAATTTTCCGAAACCGTCTTAGATGAATTTTCGAAACAGATTCTCATAGGGGCGTTGCACAATTTGCGGGCCTCATTAAATGGCATTTTGTCCATAATGGAAATATATAGTGTCATTTTTCCAATAGAACGCCATTTTTATTTTTTTATTATTTTTTTGGCTTTTTGCTGTTGATAGGTACCATGCAGCTCACACAGTCCCTAAGTGTTAGAAGGTTAGCGTTAGCATAGTTAGCAGTTAGTAGGATAGAAAAGAGAATAATATTATAAAAATGAAAAATTATAAAAATGAGAAATTACTCTGGCCTTCTCTTGTAATGAAACCTTTTTTTTTTTTTAACTCAAATATTCTAAAGAGAATATTTGAATTCATAACTTCTTACGAGTGCAAAAAACTCACTGCTATCAGAATAAAAAAACTATTGATAATAGAACATCATTTCATCGGCTTAGGATGGATATTTCAAATTTTCTATAGAGAGGTGTTTTTAACTGTATGTAATTCATTTCTTATAATCATACACATGAAAAAAAAAAGAAAAAAACTCCATCGCAATTTTGTTATGGTTGAAACTGGAATACCTTCAAATAAAACGAAATCAAATGTAAATATGTCAATTCACGAAGCAATTAGTGACAGAATTCAAATCTAAAACTTTAATCTCAATGAATTTTCTTGTTGTCATCTAAACCCATTTATTACAACAAGATTAATTTTGAATTATAAAAAATTAGTTGTTGTTGGTTTATATATATATAGGTAGTGGAATATTTTCGAATCTGTCTTCACATTATTTGATATTAAATTCACCACTTTCCAAGTTAAGCCGGTGTCAAAATACGTTTATTCTTTGTTCAATTAATAAACTGCTCTTTAGATCAACAAACCTAAATCTAATATCACTAAAGAATAATTATCATTAGTTATTCGGGAGTAATAAAAATTAAACTTTGGTATTGACCAAACCAATACAACTTGTTTACTTTTATACCATATTTCTTAATATTATTAGTTATTGCAGTTGAGGGAGATTTACTTGTTGCTTGGTAAATATTAAAAAAAAAAAAAAAAAAAAAAAAAGGTACTGGATTTTTGGTCTTGGAGACCCCTGCTTTCACCCTCGACTAATGGAAGCTTGAAATTGAACCGGCCCTCTGTACGAACCACTGAATTTACTAGCATGTGTAGGCTCTTGGTGAAATTTCATGCATTAGAACACAATATTTAACTCAAGAATTAGTTAAAGTGGCGAGGATTTGACTTAACATATGAAAAGGTTTTGAGTTTAAGTTTTATCTTTAGATAGTTTGTGCAATTTCTAATTTTTATAGCATGCAACCTTTAAAAAAAATACAAGATGGCTTTTGTCACTATGGAATTGGTGTGATCTGACACAATCAGTATCAATTCTTAAAGAAATAATTGTGAATAATATTTTCTTATTTTTGGACTTCTATAAAATTAACCCAAATGAGACAATAAAAGAAAAATAAGCTATTCTCCTTTCCATTTATCACAATAGAGAATTTCAGTGTACAGCCGTGAATTATCCATTCTTTTCATTGACATTTTTTATAAGTTTTCTTTTATAATTTTGATTTTAATATATAAACTATGATATGTTTGGATTTGTCTAAGCAAGTCTCCAATCTTATCTATTAGTATTATATAATTTTATTACCTTTTTTTTATTATTACATTTACTCTCGAGATACTTTTGTAAATTTATATAATGACTATTGGTATAGCATAAATAGAATTATCTGCTGCCATATTACAATATGCAGCCTCAAATTTTTTCTCTCATGGTATTATATCTAACCGCATGATCTTTTTGTGATTTTTATAAATTTCATTCGTCTCTTCTCATAGCACTAAAAGCGTTAAGTTGTGGAGATTAATGTAAATATAATTTATAATTTAACGTGCTATGCAAAGTTAAAATGAAAGTCTCATTGGTTGTCCATATTATAAACAGGGATAACAATTTTTTTATTTATAGCCAACACTTAATAGAAGTTTATTAAAAACTCCTAGTATATTCATAGAATAAAAATAATTATCAAATCATATAATTCTTTTATATTTGATTGTTTTTATCTTTCTATCTTTTTTCTTTCTTCTTCTTCTTCTTCTTCTTCTTCTTTCTTTTTTTTTTTCTTTTTTTTTTTAACTTGATTCGATTTCTGACACAAAGTACTACCCCTACTCCTACCTCATATATTTTAGTTTATGCTCCTTTAACTCTTGAGATACCTTTAGGGTCACATTTATCTTCCCGTTTCTACAACAGCCATCTTAACTCATCCCTCTTCTATTTATCTTAATTAACAGCAGCTACCATACAACACCGTGTGGATCCCTGCCTTTTTCTTTCATGGCTATGCAAGCTATTCTAACCAAGTATGTTTTTTAGACCTCCTAATTTAACATCTCATCCATTTATCTATACTACTCCAGTGATGCCTTTGCCAACATCATCCAATTCTTCCATGCTATTTACTTCAAGCATCACACATCTAGTATCATTAAAATTAGATACCAATAACTATTTATTATGAAAATCTCATTTTCTATCGATTCTAATTAGTCATGAATTGCTCGATTATATCGACGGTTATTCCTTACCCTCATAAACTCACACGAGACGCTTCAGAAAATAGGAGTCTTAATTTTGCACATCTTGCTCGAGTAAAAATAAATCATTGTTATGTAGTTGGTTAAATGCAACTTTCATTGCATAAATTCTTCAAGGGGTTAATTATCTTTCCACTTCTCGAGATGTTTGGGTTATTTTGAAACTTTGTTTGTGGAATAGTGTGCTGCTAAAGAGATAGCGTTGAAGTATATTTCAACACTCATTCTCTTAAAACACAATCTATGACTATCTATGTGAGTTGAAATCTATTGCCAAAAACTTGGCTACAATTAACAAATCCTGTTTCTGATAAATATTTAGTTATTTAGGCTCTTAATGGCCTTCCACCTGAATATGATCTCTTTGTTGTTGTTGTTACTAATCAATTTGTTCTAGTTTCTTTTTTTGATCTTCATTCCAAACTTTTTTATTCATGAGCAACGGCTACAACGTCACTCATCACCCGCTCATTCAGATGAGCATTTTGCCTTTACTATTTTTCCTACTTTTAATAGTGAAAGATTTTAAACTCAAAAAAGTCGTAGAAGAGGTGGTAAAAATTCACGTGGTTCTGACAGATTCTTTAATATCAATGATTCTTGCTTCCTTAATACATCCTAATATAGGAAGTAGGTAATTCGCTAGTGTTCTAGACACTCTACCTCTGCTGGAATTCTTGGTTCTAAACCATCCTTATCATTTCAGATATGTAGAAGGATTGGACATGGTGCTCTAAAGTGTCCAAATCATTTCAATCACTCTTATAATACAGATGATCTTTTAGATAACTTCTATGCTGTCTTTATTAGTGAAACTTTAGATGTTAACAAGTATCCTAATAGTGCAGTGACAGCTCATATGACTATTGACTCCAATAAACTCTCTAATCTTATATGTTTTACTGGTTCTACACAAATAGTGGTGGGGATGGTAATTTGTTGTTTATAAAACAAATTGGTATAAGCACCATTCAAGCAAATTATAGGCCATTAAAATTATCTTCTATTTATCACGTTCCTCAATTAACTTGCAACTTACTTTCTGTTAAACAACTATATCATGAAAATAATTGTTCTATCTTTTCTACAATACTACTATTTCTATAAAGGACAAACACACGAGAAAAACTATCGTTAAGTCTTCTTCACGAAATGATCTTCATCCTATTTCCTCTTCTTTTATCACTCATTCACGTCATGCATTGGTTGCTTCACTTGTCTCGCTAGATACTTGGCACCAGCAACTTGGTCATCCTCATCGATATGTTATAGATTGCCTATATTCTTCTTTGTTCAGCTCCAAGTCTGTCACTAAAATTTCTACTTCATGTCAATTAGGAAAATCAAGGCGACTACCTTTTGAATTTATTAGTTCTCTTAGTTTGAGTTCTTTATTTGTGACTCTTTCGGATGTTTAGACATCTCAAATTTTATTGAATTTTGGCTTTAAGTATTTTGTTGTATTTATTGATGATTGCATTCGATATTGTCTGTTTATTTCTAATGATGAATAAATTGAAAGTGTTTAGCTATTTTTACATTTTTCAATCATTTGTTGGAAGTCAATTCGCGATTAAAATTAAAAAATTTCAAACTGATGGTGGTGGAGAGTACATTAGTAATTTTTTTCAAGTATATCCGCATTCACGATCTAATGTCTTATCTAGATACTCCACAACAAATGGCTTGGTTGAGGTTAAGCTTTAACACTTCACTAATATAGTACACATATTATGGATTCATGTTCACACGTATATTACTTTTTGGTTTGATACTCTATACGTAACATCTTATTAATCGTTTGTTTATAGTTATTTTAAATAATGTGTCTCCTTATCCGTGTCTATTTAGTCACCCTCCCGATTATTCATTTCTCAAGGTTTTTAGTTGCTCTTATTTTCCGTACATGTATGCTCGTATGCCACATAAGCTAGGTTCAAATCGTGCATTTTTCTTGGTTATGCTTAAACTCAACAAGATCATGTTAGTTGCCTTGTTATCTTTGATGATTTTAGTTTTCTATGTCTCAATTATCTTCTCATTGATCTCATTGATCTAACTCTAGCGACATTACTCCACCCTTTGTAATCTCCACTACGACTTTGCTCAATGTTACATCTACTATCACATTGTATAACCAACCCTCTTCCAACCTTTTGCCAATTAATCCTTATTCATCTCCTCATCATGACTCTTCTAGTGATACCACAGGATCTTCACCTTATGTATCTTCATCGCATAATTTACTCGCTCCTACTACTTCATCTACCAATATCCATTCTATACGCACTCAATCAAAATATGGCATTCAAAAATCTTGTTAGATATTTTTTTAAGTTCATACTTTACATACCAAACCAACTTGTTTTTCATAGGTCATTAAAGATAAAAATTAGCAACAAACCATGGCATATTATTTCAATGCCTTGGTTGGTAATCATACTTGGAACCTTGTCCCCCTAAATCCCACTAAAAATTTTGTATGCTATAAATAGTTATATAAGATCAAAAAGAATTTTGACGGATCTATTGAGCGATATAAATTATGTTTAGTTGTTTAAGGTTGCAAGTAGCTAACTAGTGTTGATTATGATGAGACTTATCACCTTTTTGTGAAGACTGCTAATGTAAGATTGGTCTTATTTTTGATAGTCATTTATCTTCTTATCTATAAATCCAATATTCAAAGCATGCACTAAAATATAAAAATTGGTTTCATTTTGTCGGAGAATAGGTTGTTGAAAGGGAAATTGAAAGTGTAGTACCTCTTTATAAGATTAGTTAGTTGATATATTGTAATAAGCCGAATTAAAAAAAAAAAAAAAAGGTGGTATAAAAGGAGCAATAACTGCTTCTTTTTTAAGATTTTTCCTCTCTTTTCTCTCCTTCTCTCACGTGAATTTTTCTCTCAAATCTTCTCACAACTTTCTCTTTAATTCCTAAGGTAATCTATTGTTCAATTAGCTTAGGAAGACCATAAGTAAGAGGATTCAAGTGGAGTCTAGCTAACTTGGAGCTTGAAAAGCTTGGAAAACTTGAAAGAATTTAGGATTTGAAGAGCATAGTGTAAAGGTAAGATCTTTGATCCATTGATCTTTGAATTGTGAAGTTTATGTGTAATTAACGATGATATTAAATTGGAATAGCTTTGGATTATAAATTGCCTAAGGAATTGCTTAAGTTAAGATTAGGGTTTAAAGACCCATTTAAGGAAAAATAATTCTAAGTGATTATGATGGCTTCAATCGTGTTCAATTATTTTAGGTAAGTGAAATAAGAAGTTAAGTTGAAGTGGAATCAAATGAATTTGAGAAATTGAGAGGTTGAAGATGATGAATAGTGATGAATCCGAATTTAGGTTTTAATTGAAAATAATTTAGAAAAAATGAGAAATTAAGCTATATAAATGCAATTCAAGGTTAATAGAATGAGTATTTGGTGAATTAGAATGTAATGAATCATTTAATTGGAAATCAATCGAATTAAGGATTGATTGATTAAATGTTTTGAATTGGAAATTCATGATTGAATTAAGAATTACCGATGATGGGATTCGGTGAAGCAATGGATTAGAATTATTAGAGAGATTATAGAGTCTAGTTAAGGTTATCGGTTTGAGTCTTTCTAATCAATTCTATTTTTGTTTGATAATCTTATATGTTTATTTTCATCATTTTAAATTATTCCTTGAGTTATGATATTGATGGTGCCCCATAATCTTATGATACTGGATTCCTCGAACAGGTGACTCCATCATAACTTTGCTTCCGTTCAGCTTCTTCAAATTGTACTCGTGAGTGACTATTATATAATGTATTATGTGTGGCACCCCTAGCTTCCTTACCGATTACCTAAAAGGCTTGGCTAGGTGTGTCACGGTTTAGAGATCGAAGTCTCAAATTTACTCCCATACACATATAAAATGTACTGAATATCAATACAAAAGTTACAAAATAATGTAGGTATTATTACGGGTAAAAGTGAATCCTATAATTCACGGGTCACATATGAGCTTTTTTTTTTTTTTAGGAACCACTAGCTTCATTATCGGCATTGTTATCGCCTCTACTCGTCATGGCATGAAATAAACACAGAGTGAGTCGAAGTTCGGTAAGTAGGGTTATGCACGTGATATGTAATAATTTTTAAACTTCCCCCACTTTGACTCATAAAATTTTAATTTCGGGTACCCCGGGTATTTAACGAGTCTACTCTATTTTTAATATAGGTGATAACCAAATCACCTTCTACTAACAACGAAATTATCCCTCCTTGTAGTCACTCGTTAGCGAGAGTCCATTGTCTAACAGTGTAGGCACACAGACTTAAAGTATGCACATAACTCGGATTGCTAATACCCATTTAATCCAAGTAGGTTACCAAACTTATCCAATTCCATCCGATACGATTACCAAACCTCATCGTTTCCAACTCAATGGTTTTTCTCAATTTAATCCTTCCCATATGCACATGATGTTGTATTTATTACTTTTAACAAATTACGGGTACCAATTCTCTATTATCACATCATTTTCGTGACCCAATTCATATTCGAGATTTCATATGTTTCTCACAAATCTTTTATGTTATCCCTCGAGAAAACACCATGTCCACCCATTGGTATGAACCAATTCATAATTTTACTTCGTATGTTTCGATCTTTCCCTTCGTACACATAGTAAGTCTACTTTGGATTTCAATATACTACTTAGTCTACATGACCTTCCATCCTAACAGTTTATTGTGACGGATTAAAGATGAAACCTCTTTTTAATCCAAACTTTAGCCTTAGTAATCGAATTTCAACCTATAATGGATCTAGGTCTTAATCCCGGCTTTTCTTAAATTCTCACTTTCTAATACTTTATTTTATCCCCCTTAGGATGCAATTAAAACTTTACTTATGAATTTGGGTGGTTGGAACTCAATTTTTAAAAATCGGGTTTAAGCCGAGTGTTTCCTAGTAAAAACCAAAATTTTCGTTTTTCTTAGGATTTAACCTTTCTACACTTTATTTTATTCTTATTTAGGTATATTTAAACCATTGATTCATAATTTAGGTGAATGATATTCAAAACCCAAATTCTAGGCTTTTTTTAAGCCGAATGGGTCAAATAGGGACAAAGGTTTGTTTTTTATTCCTAAGTTCTTGCTTTCCATCTTAATGTACTAAATTATACTCAAGTGGATTACCTTGGAAGTCTAGATCTTAGGTCCATAAACATAAATCCAACTTGGCCATTTTAATACCAAGGTCCAATAAGTGTCTTTAGGATATCCAAACCTATTTTGTTTTAAATTCAAGCCCATCTTATTTTAATCCAAGCCCATTTTATTTTAATCCAAGTCCATTTGTTTTAATCCAAGTCCATTTTATTTTAATTCAAGCTCATTCACATATATCTTTCAAACCTATATGGGTATAACCAAACAAACCCATCACACATACATAAACATCCATCATCATACCTATACATTGCATACTTATACATTTCAACATAAGTTTACCATGAAATGCACATCAAGAAACCATACTAGATCCATCACCAAAAACATCAAAATATAACATCAACACAAACTACCATAACCACATATTACATGGCTTAAAACAAAACTCATAAAATGAACATGGAAATTTAAATTTTAAGGCAAAAATAAAGCTAAATGAAACCGACTTACAATGATATATGCTTGCTTAAGATTTCCTAGACTTTTCCTTATTTTCTTCCTTTCTTTCTTTCCTTCCTTTTTCTCCTTTCCTTTCTCTCTTTCTTTCCCTCACAATCACGTTTTCTCTCCACTCTTTGAAAGCTACGAGTTTTGGTCTCCAAAAATGCTAAGTTTCCATCTTTCTCATACTTTTTATATCACACTTTCTAGACCATTTATTTCTTTCATGTATTAGTATGCCAAGTGTTCAAATTTTATGGTAAAAAAAAGTCAATTGATGGAGACAAAAAGAGAGATAAGTCGGCGTGTTTAGCTTTCCAAAATTGAGTGAGATAGTACAAATAGAAGTATGATGAAAGATTTTATGTCACATCACTAACTAAATATGGAAACTAAAAGGTAGCTTTATCTCATTTGGTTCCTAAAATTTGGCCATGCACCTTATTTGGGTTGTTCTTTTACTTGCATGGTCTTTTAAAATATCAAATAATGGAAAAATAAATAATGGCTAGTTAAATTCTCAAAAAGGTATTCCTATAATTACTTCCATAAACCTTAGATATTTTAACACCATAAATATAAAGAAAATGACATATAAATTATAACCACATTACAAAGGATATTCTAGGAGATATTCTTATCAAAAATTAAACTATGGCATACCGAAATAAATTTTTTTATCTCCTCACATAAACACAAAGCATATTACTGTCTCTAAACATTAATCGCATTTAATACTTCATATATAGATATAATATATCAAGTACGTGTAGCTAGGTTAAGGAGTTTCACGGGGTTACATTATGTTCTAACTTTCTTGAATTTTATTCATCATACATCATTGATTATGAATGATTTAGAAACATTCCATTAGAACTTAGACGAAACGAACTCCTTAAATATTTGAAATTTTTTCATATCAAAATGTTTTGATATGAATAGAAAACGAGATTTTAAAGTGTTGGATAAATGTGTTAACAGCTTTTGATATGTGTTTTCGTAATTGAACATGAATGTTTACATTCATTATTTTGAGTATTCATATGATTTTTAGAAATGCATGCATGATATTTAAAATATCAATTTGAAAAATGTATAAGTATGTTTGGTTTTTAAAAATGTTTTCAAAATCCTAGGGAACTTAGCTACCGGGGGTAGCCTTTGAGCTCAATGATATGCGGCTCCATCATGTTAGACCGTGTGTCGACTAACATATGAAAACCTTGTCATAAGGGACATGACCTTTAGGTGTTTACACCCAATTATACATTATTATCCTATGGGTGTATAAAAAACTTATATATGTGTTTTCATATGAGTACAATATATGTATATACAAATGTGTCAATGATTTGATATGAAATGGTTTTGAACCATTTGAATTATGATATGAGATATGTTTTCGATATGCATGTGTTTTGAGAAATAAGCATTACATTTTGACATGAATTTGAGAATATCGTCCTTAGTTCATTTTCCTCTCTTAGTATATTATATAATATTTATTCACCGAGATGTTACTTGCTCATCCCTCATTATTTTAGTTTCACAGGAT